GAGTTTTGACACCGAGGTATTCTTGGCTTAGCTATTTCAAGCGTATTGCTTAGCGCTAGGCAGCCTAGCCGAATGCCTAGTCAGCGTTCCCTCTGTGTCCCTCCGCGAACTAACGCGGATCATCAAAATGATGACCTCGGTTCGAAGGGTCGTTCCCCAGGCCGCACTATGCAGCCGCCTGGTATAACGCTTGTTATAGCGCCGAGCTCTCCTATGGGAACTAGATAGGCGGGTTTCGATCTCGGACCAAGTGAAGGAAGCCCTGCCCTGGTGGTCGTCACTGGCCAACCTCGGACAGGGGAGCCCCTTGTGCCCGCTCGCCGCAGGTATGACTCTGGTAACAGATACCTCCCCCTAGGGTTGGGGAGCGCATCTATTGGGCCAATGAGCCCAAGGATATGGCCCCCGCATTAGTTTCGGGACTACCATATCAACCGGCTCGAACTGAGAGCAGTGTACTTAGCACTACCATGCTTTCTACCCGTAGTTCGAGACCACACGAGTCCTGCTCTGCACAGGCAACACAGCGGTGGTCTCCTTCAAGAAGGAGGGGGGGGACGCGTTCCCCATCGTTGTCAGTCCTAGCGAAGCAAAATCCTCCTTTGGTGCCTGGAATACAATGTGGAGCTAACCGCACACCACCTTCCAGGGGTGAGAAACAGAACAGAACACGGAGTAGCTGATACCCCAGTGGGTAGCCTCTAGGCTGTTTTGGCCGTGGGACGGTCCAAGGTTGGACCGTTTTGCCGCACCCCGGAACGCCAAGCTCCCGATGTACGTAACACTCCTGCTGACTCCAGGAGCCTGGGCCAGGGTCACTTTGCTAGCCCCGTGGACCCACTTGTTGTGTACGCCTTTCCTCCCTTCCCGCTAGTTCACCGGGCACCGGAGAAAAGCTTTGACAGGTGCATACCCGCATATTATCATAGGTTGCACCCAATTGGCCAAGCAAGGCCTAGTATCCACTTCTGTTGGGAAGGCTAGTCGAAGCGCCAGCAGTGCTTCCGGACTTACCGGACCTGCCGTCCCAACCAGACGGCGCACTACCAACGAGCCCAGCAGGTATCACTTACACGCTTAGAGGCTCTCAGTAGACCCGCACATATGAAAGCCTTATCTGAGCGGGCTGCCAACGTCCTGGCCAGGGCGAACAGGGATTCCACCTATGCTGCCTACATTTCTAGGCTGCAAGCATACACTGATTGGTTTAAGCGGAAGGGAGATTCATCCATACCATCTCTCTATTGGCTAGGTAGCAAGCTCCTTCGTCTACCTGTTTGACGAAGTGGGTTTGTTCTACGCAGCGAACGTTGGCTACAGATCGGTCTTGTCCCCCACCACTCAGAACGTACGGGAACAAGACTAGCCGATTGTCCTATTTTTAGGAGACTATTTACTGCTTTCCAGACACCAAGACCCCATACAAGGGAGCCGCCCAACTGGGACT